ACAGAATGAACCAACAAACTGTGAGAGACAAGACAGGGTTCAAGTGATCAGGAGCGGGTGTGTGGGGAGTGAGAGCTGATGGAAGACAGGTGAGACTAATTTACTAAATGGGGAGGCAAAACAAAGTAGAGGAGGAAACTAACCCCTTCTTTCCACGGGAGCCGTCAGCAGCACGTTACTGCAGCAGCACGTCTTGCTCGCGTAAGCCGCTGCTTGGCCCTTCCCACCAGACGCGAAGCAGCAGGGGAGCAGCTGTCACCGACAGAGCACGAAGTCACACAAGTGACTTCGTCAGTAAACACAACAAGCAGGAGAAAACTACAACATGGTTTGTGTTTTATGTTCTGTCCGTTTTATAATCGCCAATACGGACCTGAAAAACAAAGGAGACCGCTAGCTAGGTGATAACTTCTCACGGGGCCGCACAGTTAGTAACTGTTTTCAAAGTAAAGCAACCAGAAGGCAGTACGTTTATTTATTCTGAAAATCTCGGGAGCTTTGCTCCGTTTCCACGTCCAATTTCCTGTCTTTCCTTCCCCAAAAATGTCGAACTTGACCCGTTTCAGAGGCATCGCGCGTAGAAAATAGAACCGGCGCGTAAGGGCCGCGACGTGCTGCTCCTGAGACGCGGCCGACTCGCGCTGTGACGGCTCCAGTGGAAAAGGTTCTGTTGACCACAGTGGTTCCTATCAGCAGCTATGACGTGCTGCTGACGGCTCCCGTGGAAACCCGGGGTGAGTCATAACAGCTGCAAGACAAAAACTAACCTAAACCTGTAGGACTAAAAACACTGAAGAACTAATGTAAATGACCGATGACCTGAAGAGTTACAGAACTAAATATAAGACATAGAAAACTAAAGAAGAAACTGGGACTCTGGGTGAAGGAAATTATTGGGAGTTAAAGAGACTGGAACCAAGGGCTGGGGGAATCTAAAAAGACACAAGGAGTGAGACAAGAAGGAGAACACAGGCACACAATGTGACAGGTTGAAAGTTTTCCCAGCATAAACGACCTGTTTAAGGTCAAAGGTCAGATATTCTCCTTCAGGACTGTTTGGAAGAGAGAAGAATTTGTGGTTTTATCAGTTACAGAAAGTCATCAAAGCAGCCCCGTACCATCACACTACCACCACCATGTCTGACTGTTACTATGAGGTTTTTGTGTTGGTTTTAAAACAAATGTAATGGAACACAACTTTCCAAAATTTTCATTTTTTTTCTCATAAATCCACAGGACATTTTATCAGAAGAACATTAAGATGTGTTTTTGGTAAACATTAGATGAGTCTTTGTGTTCTTTGTCAGCAGTTGTCTAGAAATCTAGACCAACCATAGCAGTAGCAAAAATTTTACTCTACAGGTCGGTGTAGCCTCAGCAGGTCTACTATTGGCTCGAACAATTGACCCTTTAAACACCAAAGTTGCAATATTGCAACAAGCGTCATTGCTGACTTTAACCAGCCACAGCCACAAATATGATCCTTCATGAAGTTACTACTTTACACCAGAAGACAGTGGAGATGTGTGACTTCAGGCTGAGCCACTGTTTATATAGAGAGTTTGGGAGTTTTAGGAATTTGAAAATTGCCTCCTGCCGATATGTTCCCGGTCGGGGAGCGGACGAGAGGAGGAGACGAACGCCGCAGAAAGAGGGCTAATATTAGGGGGATAAAACTCACAAATGCTGGCAGGTTTGATCTTTGTTGACTGACCTTTTTGTCTGATCATGACAGACTCTGAGTGATTATGAAGCAGAATATTGACTCTCTGATGAAGAAATTCACTCATCCAGCTGGAAAGATTGACGCTGCTGCAGTGCGCAGCAACAGACCACTGGTGCTGCACAAGAGTAAGTTGTTGGGTTTGAAGTTTGTTTCACTCTATTTGAGACATTGTGGATGTAGAAATGATGGTAAATACACCAGTAATGTGATAGACATACTGTAGCATCAAGGTAAAAAAAAAAAGCTGTAAAAAAGTGACAGATGTGTTTGTTATGTACGGAAGTCAAAGTGTATCACATAATCATAAAAATATGCTTTCCCTTGGATCAAATGATCATTATATTCAAGGGAAGGACATCCCTGAAGCTGTACAAGCCCAAAGAAGCCTGACAAATATGACTAAAAAGCATTTCCCTTGAGTGAGGCTAATATAAAGACAAAAAAAATACGATATAAAAAAAATGCAATTCAAAGAGCTTTATATATGTATGTATAAATTCTAAATTTCAAAATATGATGACATTTTCTAAATAACCTGAAAAAATGAGGAGGAACATCTGTAAAAATTATGCATTCCAACATGGCAGCCAGGTGACATCATAATATGCCAATTAGATGAATGAATTTGCTCCCAACACAAACTTTGAGTCCTACTGAAGATTTTTTCTTTAACATTTTCCAAGCTACAACATTTTTGAAATAGTCATGTCAACATTTAATATTTTCTTGAAAAACTCTGGTGCCCAAACGGTTAAAGGCCCAGCCAATTACAGTGCTCTATGTTTTTAGAGTGACACTGGGCAGGTTTAACTCAGGCCCCCACAATGCGGCTCAAAAATTGAAGCAAACCCGGAAGCACCAAAAATTGCAGTTCCACCCTCATCCACTGGGGGCTGGTATCAGAAGCGAGCAAATCCTCATTGACTCCCATGTTAAAAATACTAGTTTCACAGCAGAAATAAACATGTTTACAGCCTGATACCAAAACATGTTTTTTGTTTAAATGATCTAGTTTACACTCATGACAACTCTGAGGGGCGGGGGGGTGGGGGGTGGGGGTGGGGGGGAATTTTTTTCTCACTCTTCTGTTTAAGTGTATTAAAAGCCTAAAATTCTGTATAATTAATGAGCATCAGACCCACGTGACCACAGAGCTAGCTCCGTGGAAAGGCCTCAGTAGAGCCTCGGTCTGGCCTGGAAACTGTTCCTGGAATTTGAGTCTCCGTGTTTGTGTATTCTTGTTTGGATATTATTTGTGCAATTGTTGGACAAAATGACTTGCTGTGGCATTAATTGCACTAATAGAGCATCCAAGGAGTCTCCACTTCATGTTTTTCGGTAAGTAAAATTATATTTATGTATTTTAGGTCACTGCCGAGCTGAGCTTAGATGTTAACATGTACTGTTTAACCATGAAATTTAAATGTAACAGGGTAAAACCCAGTGCATTTAACATAATGCTGCACTTTCGAAAATGGGTTGAAATATGACATGTTGGTGGAGCTGGGTTCCCACTATCGGCTTGTGGAGCTCTCGGGAGACCGATGTTTTCCACCCGGTTCTCCCCTTCCCGCAGCTCGGCGCATCTCTGTCTGATCGCGGCTCCTGACTGCTGCGCGTGCTGCCGGCTTGTGGAGCTCTGGGATGGAAACCTTTCCACCCGGTTCTCCCCAGCTGCAGCTCTGCACATCTCAGATCACAGCGGCGCTTGTCTGCTGTGCGGCTGCCGGCTTGTGGAGCTCTCGGAGACCTCTGTGTTCCACCCGGTTTTACCCAGCGGTCAGCCCGGCGTATCTCTGACTCAGAAGCTCTGGTGTTGTGCACAGTTAACTCTGGTTGTAGCTAGGTTGCTACTTCCGTTAGCTTAGCTCCCACCTCTGCATTAGCTTTGGGTTAGCTTCAGGTTAGCTTGTAGCTAGTTCGACCGGCTGTCGTCAGTTGATCCCATTTACAGCCCCACCCTCAGCTCCTCCTCTCTTCCCTTTTGTGGAATTGTCTGGGCTTGACGGAACCTGTGACACGGTCAAAATGGTGGTGGTGGTCACCTCCCATTTATCTTCAAAAATGTGTTATTGGAGCCTATGGAAACCCATTGTCCAATATTTATATGTCGATGGTTTAACTCCAGAGCTGTAATGGAGAAAAACTACAAAGATGGCTCAGGAATGGCGCTCATTGGAAATGGCTTGACATAAACTTTGCATGATTTAGACTTGGAATTTTATTTGAGAAATTGGCAGAGAGTGATTTGAATCCTTTATTATACTAAAGGATGTTTTGCGTCTGCATCTTTTTTAATTTTTTTTTTACTGTGCATATCGGACTCCCCTGTTGACTGATTTTTGTAGCAAAGAATACGTCACATTGTTAATTTCTCTGATTGGTCCTAGCATTGTACAACTGTGTGCAGAGAAAATCTAAAGGAAAACCTTGAATAACCAGGTGTTGTGAACCGGGTTCATTGGACCGTAACATGAAGGAGGTCTGGATACATGGTGGGAACTTGAATATTTTTATTTAAAACAGCCATGCAAAAGGCCTCACTAAACTAGCAAACAGGAAGTAATGCCTGAGGTGATCTCTATGATTCCCTAGTCACCAGTCACAGATAAAAAAAAAAACACAGTACCAAAGTGGCTACAGAAAAGAAAAAAAAAAACAAGTGACAAAATGTTTGTCAGCAGAGGCTTGGCATTGGAAGTCCCCATGGAGGAAGTGAAGCCTGAGCTGGGCTAGTAATATTAGCCAGCATATTTACATGCTATACAGTTACGTAGGTGGCTTAGTTCAAAAAGGTGCCATCTAAGGGTCCAAAAGGTGAGAGAACGTTATGTTTTTATGGTTGTTTGACAGTGTTCGTATTGTCCAGCATTCTCCATGGATTCTGGAAGCACGGCTTAGAGAGGAAGCCTGAAAAAAGGGTGTGGGAACTTTGTGTTTTTTCAAAATGCAGCTTGCATAGGTTTCAAAGAACAGGAAAGAGCAGAGTGTGTCTAGGCTAATAGAAGCTAACCATTAGCAATAGCAATGCCACAAAACCTTTCAGGAACTCCCAACTTTTAAGTATGAGAAACCAGAGTGTAAAGGGTGTGTATGGGGAGCGTGAGTGGGTGTCTAGCATTCATTTAAGTCTTGGGTTGTATGTGTATGTGTGAGCATGAGGGAGGGAGTGTGTCTGTGTATGGCTGTATATGTCAGGTGGGGTCTTGGACTCCTCCCCTCTCCTGGGACTTCTTGTGCTACTACCAAGCCCCCACAATGCAGCTTTAAAGAGCAAGTAACGTCTAAATTAACTTTTTTTTGCTGATGAACTGTATAAATGAGTGTCTAATAGTGTTTTAAATGTGTGCATTCTTTATTTTAGCATTTTGGTGCATTTTCTTTAAAAATTAAAAATTCTGTCTAAAAACCACAGTAATGCGCCACCTTCAGCTGAAAACATAGAATTTTTGTCATTTTGAATAAATTTTAGCCAATGGCTAAAGAGTAAAGTACTACGTAAACCAGTAGAGTACTACGTAGCAGCTCCGTGCCAAAGTTATAAAAGCAACGAGCGTCTCGGCCACGCCCTGTGGCGAGTGGGAGTTGGATTTGCAAGCGAGCATAGGAGGTCAGCGGTAGTTCAGCATTAGCATATAGCATTAGCATATCCTAGTCTTAGCATATCTTTTAGTGTTATAAATACTTATTTAGTGTTAGATTTGGCTGTTGGATATTGTAGTTGAGTTAGTGTTTGGCTGTTAGTGTAATTGGGAAAGTATTTCTGGTTTAGTGTTCCATATCGTCTTAGTATTGGTGAGTAGGTGTAGTGTAGTATGCTTGCGGTGACTCTGTGGGCATTTTACCCGCGATTCTGCGCGCCTCCGTTTGAAGAGGGAGGCTGCCCACCGTGGCTCTTCCGCGATTTAGATGCAGCCCACCGACTCTGCTCCCCCACCACGGCGGGCTCCAGTCTGAGGTGAGTCAGCTAAATAAACGTTTTAACATCTTCTAAAGACAATTCCCTACCTAAATGCAAAGTCTGAGAGACGTGGTTCACTTCCTTTAGCTAGTCAGTCGGCAATTCTGCAACAGTGTCTCTAACTAACGCTGCACTAGTTGACAGACAGCATTACAGCGTGAAATCCAGCTTGTGAACAGGTTCTGTAAGGAATTCTGTTCAGGAGGTCGCATTTCAGGCTCTCCACATCATATGTGATGGACTTTTACGTTATAACAACGATCACACACTAGGAATGTTATAAAGCGCCTATATAGGAGATTCTTTTATATATTATCTGACTTTATAAACTCCAACAACAATGTGCTTCTATTTTTTTTTTTCAGGCTAAATCTACCCAAGACACTGGCTGTCAGACTGATTTAGCTGCATGAATGTACTTGTCCAGGCTGATGTGAAACCTTCCCTGTAGCAAAGGTGAATTATTTTTAATAATCTTCTATGTAAACATTTTATTATCACCTTCTAGTTTTAATTTGTTTTACAGATTATTTTTACACGTGATTTTATGCTCTTTTAAACATTTATAAATGTGCTGCTTCTTTGTTTTTACATAGCCATCCAGTTTAGAGCTCACAGCCGCAGTGTGTCTGGTGACCCACAGGGACCATGATGAAAATTCATCTTCCAGAAAGTCCCAGAGCGTCCAGACCTCCTGAAAAGACCAAGATGTAAGGTGTCTGCTGTTGATTCCAGCTTCCACCTCTGTGACAGTGCAAGCTCAGTGAACTGTTCAAGGTTAAAAAAAAAATTAAAACATTTCAGAATTTTTAAGATATTAACAATTAAATAAGTATGTGATTACATCATGAAGGAGGCTACTGATTCTGCCCCTGTGACACTTGGTGGTGACGTGTGAGCTGATTCTCCTGGAAAATAACTTTTACATTAAATATTTTGTTTTTGCTATCAAAAGTAAATTAACTAATAACATGCATTATTGCAGGACACTCAGCAAAATATAGACTCTACACCATGAGGCATGCACACATTAATATTCTATAAGAGCACATAAGGTGAGCAACACCACATATTGTACACTGTCCTGAATTTGTTTTCTTTCTGCATCTCATTAGCCTGGCTGATCACCTGATAACCCCTGTCATCTGGTTATGACAGCATGAGGATGTCCTCACACACCTGTAACCTATCAGCTCATCCTGCTGAATAGAGAGAGAAGAGACCACACCACATCTCCTGTTCCTGGAAAGCCTTCAGCCATCCTTCGATGACTGAGAACCTCCATCAGCTCTGTCTCCTGTCTGCCTACAATTATTATAATAAATATTGTGTTTGACAAGTTTTTTGTGCTGCCAAATATCTCATTTAGATTCGTTTTGATATTTTAATGGATATTTATAAATTACATTGAATATCACATTTTTGTTGCATGTTTAACTAGCTCTATTGTGATTAATTAAGCTAGCACCTCACTGTTAAAAGCTCGTTCTAATTTCAAGCATGTTTAAGTATTTATGGACATGAACAAAAACAGGAAATATATAAATTGAGATTTATTTAATTAATATAACAAATAAGGGGGAAAGAGTCATTGAAAGGCACGTTCTTCTGAAAGTTCCTGATCCTGATGACACCAGCAGAGGAGACCAGCTGCAGACACCAGAGACCAGCTGCAGACACCAGAGGACCTAGAACCAAGAGAGCAGCTGTTATCAGTAAATAAATAAAGAAATCAGGGCAGTTTTAGTGGGCTGAACACATTACAGAATAATTTTCTCATGGGGTATTTTCATAACTTTATATGCAGCAGACTGTAACTTGAGCCCAGAGCTACCGGAGAGCTGCTATCCAGCACGTTTCAGTGGTTTTCCTGCTTTAACAGGTTAGATTAACTGTTAAGCAGCTCAGCTATTTGTTGCTGATTAAAACCAGGTGTGCTGAAGCAGATAAACCTCTAAAACATGCTGAATACTAGCTTTTTAGGGCCGTGGAGACAAACCCTGCAGCTAATCCAATGCTATGGCTAACGGCTACTTACCTTTCAGAGGTGATTCTGTTGGGTCGGTTCTGGGAGTTTCAGGCAACTCACAAGCTCAAAACAATAAGACTCAGGTCCGCTTGTCTCCTCCAAATAGACTTGGTCCCTTTCTTCTCGAGTGTCTGTGTAAGGAGGGGGAGAAACGTCCTCCACTTCTAATAACTGCTCAGAGTGAAGGGAGCTAGCTTCGTCTAGTTAGCCATCGTCTTCGTCACTGCCGCGGCTCCGCCCTCTCGGTCCTCCAGGCAACGCCTACTAATGTTGCATTTTTTAAAATTGATACGTGGGTGGAGAAGGACTCCGAGGCTCAATTGACCCGCTCTTTAAATTTGAGTCCAACCTGGAAGTAAGAAAAATGGCAGTTCCACCCTCATCCGCTGGGGGCTGGTATCAGAAGTGAGCAAATCCTCAATGACTCCCATGTTAAAAATGCCAATTTCACAGCAGAAATAAACATGTTTACAGCCTGGTACCAAAACATGTTTTTTGTTTAAATTATCTAGTTTACACTCATGACATCTCTGAGGGGGGTGCATTTTTTTCTCACTCTTCTGTTTAAGTGTATTAAAAGCCTAAAATTCTGTATAGTTAATGAGCATCCGACCCACGTGACCGTAGAGCTAGCTCCGTGGAAAGGCCTCAGTAGAGCCTCGGTCTGGCTTGGAAACTGTTCCGGGATTTTGAATCTCTGTTTTTGTGTATTCTTTTTTGGATATTATTTGTGCAATTGTTGGACAAAATGACTTGCTGTGGCATTAATTGCACTAATAGAGCTTCCAAGGAGTCTCCACTTCATTTTTTTCATAAGTAAAATAATATTTATGTGTTTATGTCGATGATTTTAGGTCACTGCCGCTCTTGCACTAGCTGAGCTTAGATTTGAATATGTACTGTCCATGAAATTTAAATTTAATAGGGTAAAACCCAGCACATTTAACATAAAGCTGCATTTTTGTAAATGGGTTGAAATATGACATGTTGGTGGAGCTGGGTTCCGACTATCGGTATGGTCTTCCGTCCCTCAGCGGCAGCTCGATGCATCTCTGACTGCAGCGGCGCTTGTCTGCTGCATAGCTGCCAGCTTGTGGAGCTCTCAGGAGACTTCTGTGTTCCACCGGTTACCCAACGGTCAGCCCAGCGCATCTCTGACTTAGAAGCTCTGGTGTTGTGCACAGTTAACTCCGGTTGTAGTTAGGTAGCAACCTCCGTTAGCTTAACTCCCACCTCCGCGTTAGCTTTGGGTTAGCTTGTAGCTACATTCGCTTCAGTTCGATGGGTGTTGTCATTTGATCCCAGCCTTACAGCCCCACCCTCAGCTCCACCTCTTTTCCCTTCTATGGAATTGTTTGGGCTTGACGGAACCTGTGACACGGTCAAAATGGCGGTGGTGGCCACCTCCCATTTTGCCACAAAAACTTATAATTGGAGCGTAAGGACACGAATTGTCCAGTATACATGTCGATGGCTGCTACACATCTTTGCCTACCCTCCCCCGCCGCAAAAAGCAGTGGAGTGTGGTGCCTTGGTCTGCCTGAGTGTTCGCGGCTCCCGGGTCAGGGGATTTAAGACTTTTGTCGTTTGCCTGATAAATCCTGGTGGCTGCCTGGTGGGATCTGAGTCCCTGGGCTCTGTTGGGTACCCGGCGGGGCTGGCCGGCCCTGGGTCCCGGGTCGCTGGGTTCCGGGCTTGGCCGGCTTGGGGGTGGGAGTCTGTGGGCGAGCCTGTGGGCTTGCCACTGATATCTCCCGGGACTCTGTCGGCTGCTGGTTGTGACCCCCCGGGGCAATCCTCTGCGCCTCTTGAGAGCAGGCAGGGGCTTTTCTGGAATGATCAGTTTAAAGACTGAAGGCAGAGAGGAAAATTATCTCAGCCTGACCCAAACAAATTCTTGTTATCTGAATCTAACGCCTTGGTAGCCTTGAGCGGCAAGCAACAAACCCCCACGAAGAAATGCAGACAGATGCTGTGACCCCCCCCCCCCCCCCCCCCCCCCCCCGCCTTAGATTGGTGGACTCATCCTGGCGAGGTCGTAAATCTGCAGGAGTCAATGTGCTCTTCGCTTCTCCCAAGATCTCCCTCCCACCTGTGACTGTACAGCAGATGAGCACCGTAGATGGCTGCTCTCGCTGGGGGAAACAGGATCCCAGCCCCCCCTCCAGCCCCCCCCCCCCCCCCCCCCCGCGCCTTCAAATTGGAGTCTTATGTTATGTTGTCTGAAGTCTGTTGCAATTTTGTTAAGGTGTTTTTTGCAGAGCAAAGCTGCCCTCCTGGTGGGAGGTTAACTGTGAAGTGCCTTTTTTTCCCCCTCCACCTGAACCAATCCTCATGTAACCCTCTTATCTCTATTAAGGTAGTGCGACTCGGGTTGTGAATTACCTCAGTCACCAATTCTTGTCATGTGTCTTGTCCATGTATGTCTGATCTCTGAATTGTGTGTACTGAAACTCTAATTTCCCTCTGGGATTAATAAAGTATTGATTGATTGATTGATTGATTGATTGATTAATTGATTGATTTTCTGGCTGGGTTCCTGCGCTCTGGGGCAGCTCCTAGATCTCTAGGGCTTGGAGCTCCCTCATCTCCTACACGTCTTTGGGGGGCAGATCTGTGGCCCCTCACTCTCTCTATTGGACACTCCTGTGGAAAAACCTTACATATACAAGCATGTGTACGCACACAGGTGCTCACATGGTGCTCTCATAAGTATGGACTTGGGCATTTTCAACACATGTATAAAAGGTGTTGGCCAGACTTGGCAATAAAATGGTAGAAATTCAGTATAACACTTTACCATCTATGTAAACATGTACTGGGTTCAGTTTTTCATTTTTTAAGGAATTTTGTCATAAATCATTACAGAAAATCTAAATCCTCTCCTCCAGAGAGTGAAGAACTGTGTTCCGCATACATCACTCCAGTATGTAAAACAAGGTAGTTGCTGATGCTAGTATTGTGAATGACTGTATTTTGTTTACTTTGGTGCTCTCAATTATTACGTAAAATTGCGTTTATAGCTGCAGCAAAAGGTCTGAGCCACATGTCCGTGTCCTACACGCATTTTTAAATAGCATAGGTCTGATCTAATATAATAACCTACATCTATAAATCCATCTAGAACCGCACCAGTACTTCTGGACTCTGAGTCCTGTTAGCATAACTGCAACAACACTGCTAACTGTGTTAGCTCCGGTAAGGAATAAAACAAGTCATTTGGGAAAGCTACGACACAAACAGATATAATCTAAAAGATGATCCCCCTATCAACAATAGATCCTCCATGGACCAGTAGAACTTCTGTGCCATCCTGGATTAGTGCAAATGAGTCAAACTAATGAGTTATTCCAGCATCAGGAAGTTTTATTCTGGTGAGCTATTAGTTATATATTTTCCAGAGTTATACCAATATGTACATGGAGCGGTATAACTGGCAGCACACATATCTGTAGATTACTGAATTATAATGGTTCTCATGATGGAGCTAAGACCAGATGAGAACTCGTCAGCTTAGAGATCCCAGTGGAGCAAAGAAATGAAATATTGAACAAAAGTAAACAAACTGTACCGGTTTTGGTTCTGAAGATGAACAGAATCCACCTCTAGGTTCAAATCGGGTCGCGGGTCTTCAGAGTCAAATGGTCTAAAACATGCCTGCACCTCCGGTAGAGATATCCAGCTAGCGGGGTCGGAGTTCGGTTGAACTTCTATGGTAATCCAATATCTGTTCTCGTTGCCGTATCCCAGAGAAAAACCTAATCTGATCGACTAGTAGAAGCTTCAGAAGCTACATCTGACTGATGACACATTGTTCTCTGTTATAACTCTAACGCAGAAACACCGGAGTCAGGAGTTGTTTACTATCGCTGTTTCAGCAGATCTCCTTGTGGAGCGTCACCAGCTGCCCAGGACATAAACCGGAAGTTAATTTCTGTTTTTCCCGCGCCAGTCAAAAACATCAGATTTTCTTAAAATTCTAGCCGTGAAAATCCCAAAACCTATTTCATCTGAGGTTTTAATACTTCTTTACACATGCCGTTGAAAGGAAATTTGCCTCTGGCCAATATCTTTAAGGCTTTGGTTGGCACTAAATGCACTGTGATTTATTATCGTGTGATTGTTCAGTAAAACAATGTTGATTTTATTTTTCCTCATCAAGTTGACGCAGTGATAGCTTGCTCTTGTTGTATTGTTGTTGTTTTTTTTTCTCTTTCTGCAGGTCTAGAAGCAGACTCTTGTTCATCATTGATTGTTTATTTTTGTGGAATATCCACAATATCCGACAGCTCACATAGTACGCACACGGCGAGTTTCTACCCCCCGTGAGGCGGGAAATATTTGACTGGTCAGATGTTCACCTCAGCATCTCGTGAGGCGGAAAACTCAGTGAAAATCAGGCGGACACAGCCAGGTATCTGCTGAGTAAACAGTCATTCGAGGTCGTCTGCTCAGCAGATTGCTCTTGTGTACGGCAGGCTTTAGGGAGAATTGTCGTTAATGACTTGGCAAAACTGGAGTGTAGGAGTAGGGAGGGATGGGGAGATTAAAAGAGAGGGAAAGAAAAAGCTAGAGTGGGAGCTTAATCACAAAGGCTAATTAGCCTTTCAAATTTATGCCAAAGCGTTCAGGTTTCCAGTCTGAAGAGATTGCATTCAATGAGTGCGATTTGAAGGTAACTCAGGCAACAATGGTGTGATTTATTACTGTCAAATTACTGCTGCATCTGAGTTCTGGAGATCAGGTGAAGATTTTTGCGTGCAAAATGGAGCGTGAGGGTTTGGATTAATTAATAAACAAATTTGGGAAATTTTGTTCATCCTTTTTGTTGGATAAAAGAGCTGTACCACTTTGCAGAAACATGAAAAGATAATTCTTCATTTCACAGAACATGTGTCCTATTTCTTGGCTGGAACCAGAAGTCTTTGTCTATAATTGCTTTACACTCAAGGCCTTTACACACCAGTGGCTTTTGTGCGAGATAGAAACAGGCTAGAGATTGAATATCTGACTAATTTACAAAGGCTCAATCCCATTTTGTCCTTTTTCATTACTCTTGCAATTTGTGCATTCACAGAAGGACTGAGGTTGTTCCAGTTCTTGTAGGGACACCCGGGCCAACATTTAGCACTTAATCTGTACATCTGTAGCTGTGCTACCAGCAAACAAACAAACAAAGTAAAAAAGTGAGTATTTTAACAACAATCTCTTTCTTATAAAGTTTTTCAATAACAATGGACGGACACGTTCACTTCACATTTGAAGGTAATCAACATCTAAAGACAGCTCTTTGAATTGCCTTGGTTTGGAGAAGCAGAGATTAATTCTAACATTAT